GCCTGCGGCGGGGGGGACAGCGCCCTGTTATCTGCACACCCATATGACCTGCACACCCACGTGTACATCCACATCAACGAAACAACGAAACTCTTCTTACCCAGACGCAGGGGAGGGGGGGGCAACTCAGGGGAGAAACGCCAAGCTTGAATCGGCGATACATCGCCGATTGATCGGCGATGGGCATCTGGTAGCGGAGCCCCCCGTTCCTGGGCAGGGTGGATCATCAGGCCCCTGTCGGCGATCAGTGGGCGACTTGGGGTGGATGCGCCCCCCCTGCGCAGATCCCCCCTGAACGTTGCCCGCGACGACAACCACGGCGCCAGTGGCGATGTGCGGGGGGGCAAGGATCTATCCTTTACCACCGCCTGGAGAGTCGATCTCCGGGAACCTCGACAGGCGGGGGGTATGGATATCGCTGGCCTCCCCCAGGGCCCGAATATCTCTGAAATTATCCACCGCCCGCCGAGGCTCCCGAAGAGCGATCCCGCAGACGGTGATTATGGATAAATCTCCGCCTCAGACAAGACAAACTTCCTCCTCCTCCTCCTCCCTCCTCCTCCTCCTCCTCCGCTTCCTCCTCCTCCCACCTCCTCCTCCTCTTCCTCCTCCTCCTCCTCCTCCTCCTCCTCCTCCTCCTCCTCCTCCCCCTCCCCCTCCCCTCCCCCTCCTCCTCCTCCTCCTCCTCCTCCCTCCTCCTCTTCCTCCTCCTCGTCCTCCTCCCCCCCCTCCCTCCTCCTCCTCCTCCTCCTCCTCCTCCTCCTCCTCCTCCTCCTCCTCCTCCTCCTCCTCTAGGCTATGAGTTTGTGAATGACCACAAAGACATTACCAACGCTTTTGGGTCAACGTCTTGGGAGTCTTTGGCCAGAGCCAACATGGAGGTGATGAAGGAGGGGGAACACGTCTATGGGGAACAGAGGTTTAAATTCTCGGCTGTTTTCGAGGGCACGATGGGCACCGATTTGTCAAACCTTGGGTGGGAGCCCTGCAAGGAGACCCATGGGCGGTCAAAGTTTTTGTCAGGGACATCGGAGATTGGTTTGAGGAGGCACAGGCGGTGTTTGCTGAATCAGGCGAGCCGACTGCCCAGCTTTGTGTTGTCGATTTGCATCCAGAAGGGCATGAGCCGCTAGAGCTGGACTTATCGTTTCACAACTATGTGGATGACGCGCTGCGGAAGTTGATCGCAGACTTGTCTGAAAATGGAGCAGTATCCCTCAGCAGGCAATCGTTGCTCTACAATCAGATCCTCAGTGAATGCTTGGCCAAGCGCGGCTACATGCTCAACCCCACTAAGAATGAATCCGTCGTCTCGTTCCAGGGTCGAGGGCAACAGACACGCAAGCAGGCCATCAAGAGCAAAGCACTCCCCATGGCAGGCACCCCGAACGACGTAGCCAAATATCTAGGAGCTCTTGTACGACATGATAGTAAATTCAATAGTGAACTACATGCAAGACTAGATGCAATAACAGCAGGCTACTGGTCTATGGGCAGGTACTGGTACACCCCCAGGATCCCTTATGTCGAACGTAGAGCCATGTTCCTCAGCAAGGTTGCCGGCCCCGCGGTCTCGGCCCTTGAGGCGTTCCTCCCGACTCCTAAGCAGGTCCTTAGATTGCAGAACAAGATTGTCGAGTTTGGACGGCGAGCGTTGAGAGGAGCGGCCACAGAATGGCACAATGATCATCAGCGTTCCATCCCCTCCCTTCGAGTTCTTCAGCTCTGGCGTGTTGCACCTTTGGAGACAGAGCTCAGAGTTCGCAGATTGAAGTGGTATCAGAAATGGGTCCAGCAGCCTCACCTCCATGCTGCTGATTGGGGTGCTCTTTTCTTCCCTATTCGTGCTGAGCGTGAACGTGATATGCAGATCATTGATGCGCCTGGCAGACTCACACAACATGCATCTCCATGGGCACATAGGTTTGTAGCTGATGTTGAATCTCTTCGCAAGCTGGGGGGGGGAGCACTCAGACAAAATTGACGACTGGGACTCCCGACCTCTGGCGCTTTTTGATGACCCTGATCTATCTGAATGGTTTGGCAGCATTGATATGAGTGAACTTCGAGCAGCATCCTGGACTGTAAGTGTTCCTCCCCCAGGGTTCCAGGCTCCCGAGGCCCCTGCAGAACCCCAACAAGATCCGCGAGATGGTGACGACGAAGAGTATGCATGCTGTATCAGAGGTTGTGGTCGCAAGTTCGCAACGCAAAGGCAGCTCACTGGTCATCTCCAGCAAGGGCATGGCCTCCAGAGTATCCTGGGTCTCCTCACTACCGATATTCAATGCTTCGTATGCGGCCAGGTCTTCGAGGCTCGGAACTCGGCCTACAAGCACGTTAAGATATCGTTCCGCACGGGCATATGCATCATGGGCAGATCTAATACATTTCGGGTAGCAAGAGATGGAGGCCACACCACTCACACATGCAGATTATGTAATACGTCTGCATGGGCTCGAGCGTGAATCACTACATCTACACTATCGTGAACACTTCACACTGCTTCCGATTGTGCGCGATGCCCGACGGACCAGCGGTGGAGCAGCCAGCGACAGCGGGGTCGGGTTCGTCACAGCAGAACAAGGGCCCCATGGTCCCAGCCTGGGGCCTGGCGCTCGGCAGGCCTCGCGAAGACGACGGAGAGCCAGTGCCCAAGAGCCCCCGCAAGTCCGCGCAGCTCGACAAGCTCAAGAAGGACACGCAGAAGACCATGGAGACCACCAAGCTCGGCCCCTTCAAGTCGCTGATGCGCGTCCTGACCCGACTGTGCATCGCCAACTCGCGCGACGTAGCCGACCTGATTGGCGCCTCGTTCAGTTGTTTTCTGCTTCCCGCTGCACACTTCATCGTGATTGCGCTGCAAGAGGCGGGAAAGCTCTACTCGCTCACGTGCAAAGAGAAGGGCAAGGAGCACGGCCTGGGGCCGCCTTGGCCCCACATGTGGATGGCGCTGGTCAGGGCGCTCTTGGCTCACCCGAACACCCCCGTCAAGAGCAGAGCGGCTATGCAGGTCTACTGGACGGGAACATCAACACCCCCGAGTCGAACTTGCAGGTGCTGCAGGATCAGGTGAGATACTGCAGAATGCGGCCGACGTACTACAATCGCAAGAAGAAAGAGCAGCCGAAGTTCTTCAAACTCCAGTACATGCTGTCGTCCGAACTCCAAACGTCGACGATCGCCTGAGACGGGGAGAACGTCGGCACGGTGCACAAAGCCCTGTTTCACAGCCTGGTCTCGCACGGGGGCCAGTTCAAGCCTGGAGGCCCCCCCAAGGGGGGACTCGAGCGCGAAGCGGAGCGCCTGCTGGGGAAGCTCGGGATGAAGAGGGGCGAGGACGAGCAGCTCAGCGAGGACGAGCTCAGCGAGGGCTAGCTACCTTGACTACGATCAGGGGGTCAGCTCGAATGGTTCAGATGGCGAGAGATGGCCTATTACAGCATGTTGGCCTATCTAATCTGCAGAATGGGTGCTCAGAGCCGATTTTATGCTACCAGACGCCCACTGGACAGGAGTTCAGAGTCTTCTATGCAGATGAGTTGCAGCACACTATTTCTCTGGTGGATTTGGCTCGGCGGGCCTCGAATGTGCGATCTATGAGAATGCGAGTTGACTCACAGGTTGCCATAGTCTCTTCTGATGACCAGGCTCATCGCCAACTTGTGAGCATGCGTGCAAACCATGAGTTGTATCACACGGGCGATGATGACAGGATCTCCAATCCCCAGCCGTAAGGCAGGACTGGGTGGCCTTCGGGCGCGGAGGTCATTGTCTGTTCTGAGCTCGTCTCTGTTGCCCTGTCAGTTCAATTGTCTTGCACTCAGCATTTTCACATTGTGCAACGTGTGCGTGTGCATGTTGATTCGTCGGTTGTGCACTTCATATTTCCATATCATGATGCAGGCAAGCGACCTCTCGACTCGCTTGCATATCCGTTCAGCTGCGGTGCGGTGCTTAGCCGAGGCCTCCAGGTTTCTCCCGAAAGGAGGTTCTCGGATTGAGCCAGTGGTGCCCCCCAGCAGAGCGATCTAGACAGACGCTCACAGAAGCGTACACAGATCCAGAATAGGTCGACTGCAACTTCCAGGCGCCGTTTCTCTTTTTGTTTGCGTGCCATGTGCAGCAGTTCAGTGGATCGTAAGTGTGTCTTGTCTTGTCTTGCCCTCCTCCTCCTCCTCCTCCTCCTCCTCCTCCTCCTCCTCCTCCTCCTCCTCCTCCTCCCCCTCCCCCTCCAGTGCTCAGACATCCGCCTGGCCCCAGACGGGACGGGACGGGACGGGCGCCTACGTGCTGCGTAGAACGGCGGAAGGGGATGTTCCGAATGGCCCCGCAGGTCCGGGCGAGGATTGTTCGATGCGTGGCCCCAGAGGACGCGACCCCCTTCACCGGGGTCCGTTTGACGTCCCAGATCCGTTCTTGATGGCACCGGGCCACAGAGGCCGAAACTGGGGGAAAAACGCTGGGATCGAAAGACGTTTTTTGTCCATCGGCAGCGAGGCAGGGTTGGCTGCACCAGCGAAGGAGCTAGACGGAGGCACCGAAAAGCGAAGTGGCCAGAGTGCAAGAGAGGGAAAAGGGCGGAGGCGGGCGGCCGCGGGGGGGGGGGGGAAAGAAGCGGGATCGGAAACCAGCCCGCGCCGATCCTCAAAACAATGCATACCATGATGGGCCAATATTCCACCACCACTACCACAGGTAGGAGAGGGAGGAAGAAAAGGAAGAAGAAAAGGAGGGGGAGGAGGAGGCCCTCCCTATCCTCCGTTCTCCCCCGTCCTACACATGGCAGAGGTGGCGGAAAAGTGGCCCATCATAACGAAAGTTAAGTCGGGCATGTCCCCCTACAGGCCGATTTCGGACGAAAAATTAGAAATACCCCCAAAATACCTTCAAAATGCTCAGAAATGGTAAAAACATAGTCCCCAGGCTGTTTTGTGACTGTTTTTTTGAATATCCCCCCTGTAGAGGGACAGGCCATCACGAGGGCTCCCCGGCGGCGCCTCGATGCAGGCCACGACGGCGCGGAACAGCTCCGCCAGCTGCGCCCGCGGCACGCCCAGGCCCGCGGCGCGCAGCGGCACCACGGCGCCCCGGGGCCCGCCCTGCGGCGGCGCCGTGGACGGCCCGCCGTCGAGCGATGGCAGGGAAGCGAAGAAGTGAAGGTGCCCTGGGACACACAAGTAAATACACACAGAAATGACAGGATTCCCCATGTTCTCACATATGTTCTGGGTTTCTTGTCTTCCCCCCCACTTCCCATGTTTTCCAACATTTTCTGGGGAATCGACGATGACTTGTGTCTGTGTTGTTCCCTCCTGAAGAATGGCATGAACATAAACACTCGGAGGTCCGCGCGGATTTCTCGGATCGGCGCTGGACCCCACCCCCGCCCTGGCGCGCGCAGCGCGCCAGGGGCGGCGCCGGAGGCGCCGCCAGGGGGGCCGCGCGAGCGGGCCACTTGTTTCTTGCGCCCGCAGTCCGTGCGCCTTTGGGTCGGGAGTGGCGTTCGAGCGCGGGCGCCGCGCGTAGCCCGGCTTCCGCAGCGCATGGAGCAGGCAGCGGCAGCGGGACCGCGCGAGAGCGGGCGAGATGCCGCCCTCGCCCGAACGCCGCGCAGTGAGCGCGTGACAGTGTCAATGCGGTGCCAGTGCGGCGCGTGTTTCGTTTTCGCCGCGCCCATCGGCAATGTCGCCGCTCCCGCCCTTTACGCGCTTGCGACATTTCCTCATCGCCATGCCGTCGGAAGCGGGGCCGCGCGCGAGCGCCCTTCGTCTGTGAGGTAGGAACGCGTCCCGATCCCAATGTCAGGTTGTGTGCCCCACTTGCTTCCTACGTTCTGGGAGGACGCGCGGGAGCAGCCGGGGCCCTCCGACTCGCCCAGCCTGGCCAGTCCCGGCTCTTTCATCGAATCCCGATTCTTTCTGTTCGTGTGCACTCCCGCTCTGCCACCTCGCCGGCCGATAAAGACCCAAGCTGGGCCCCTCCGCCCGAGCATTGAAGATAGACTTAGGTTGGGCATGTCCCCCTGAAGGCGGATCCTGGACGAAACATGTAAACTAGTCAAACATACCCCACAATGGTCACAACTAGTCAAAACATCGTCCCCATTAAAAAGAAACAACTAGTCTTGAATAGTCCTCCTGTGGAGGGACGCGCCCGACTTGAAAGGGACACGGAGAAACAAGAACGTCCCAATATGGACATGCTGTCGCCCATGCTGCAGGACGCGCGGCAGGAGTGGGGCGGGGCGCGCGCCGCGCGCGGAAGACCGAAACGTCGTGCTCGCCTCGGCGCCGGGCCCACCTGCTCTAGAGCACTGGGATCCCGCTCGGGCACGGCGCACACTGGTCGCAGGCGTTCCCGTTGACGCGCGCGCGCGGGCGAGCATGTAGCTTGAAGTCGGGCCTGCCCCTCTACAGGAGGAACATTCAAAACTAGGCAAAAAATCCTGGGGGGGATTTTCCAGTATTTTTGAGCACCTCTGGTGCGCTGTTTGGCTGTGTTGAACTCCTCGTCCAGACTCCCCCTTGTAGGGGGAACACGCCCGACCGAACTGCAGCTCGCGCCTCGGCGCCGCGCGGACTCGCCGATTCTTTTTCTGTTGGGAAGGGGGCCGCGCGAGGGGGCGCCTCGTCGCCCTCGCCCGGGCACCGTGCGCAGAGGCGGGTCGGCGGTGGCGTTCCACCGCGGGCGCGGCGCGGGAGGTCGTCCGCCGCAGCGCCCGGAGAGCGGGCAGCGGCAGCGGGGCCGCGCGAGGTGCCGGGGCGAGGTGCCGACCTCACCCAAACGCGGCGCAACTCGTCGGGGAATCGTCGGGGGCGCGCAAGCCTGGATTGGCGATCCACCGATGTGGCGCGCCGTCGCCGAAACCATGGATCGGGGGAGGGGCCCTCCCCAACATGCGGCCGGTGCCGCCTCGCTCGGCGATGGAAGTCCGCGATGTCCTGTGGCAACGGGACCCGTCGCTAATCCACGCCCCCTTGATCCATGTTTGCGATCGCCTGATATTTGAAATACTGTGTCAGCGCGGCGCATGTTTCGTCTTTCCTTTACCGCGCGCATCGGAAGGTTTGCCGCTCCCGCCCCTGCGCGGCCCGCGTAGTTTTCTCGTCGCGACGCCGTTCGGTGTGGGACCGTGCGCGAGCTGCTTTCCAATCCCCATATCAAGTTGTGCCACACTTGATCTTTATATTGTCGGGGGGAGGGTGGGAGTAGGCGAGCCCTCGGACTTGCTCGGCCTGGCTAACTTGACTCGACTCCTACGCCTACTCCTTCCCCCTCGCGCATCCTCCTCCCCTCTCTCCCTAACTCGCCACAGCTGCTCCTCGTCCTCGCCCTTCTCCTCCTCCTCCTCCTCCTCCGCATCCCTGCTCCTCTTCCTCCTCTCCTCCCTCCCTCCTTCCCCCTACGACGACAGACGATGAACGACGGACGACGGACGACGGACGACGACGACGAAGACGAAGTCGACGACGGACGACGGACGACGCCGAGGACGACAACGACGACGCATGTCGGCGGACGACGACGGACGACGGACGACGGACGACGATGGACGGACGACGGACGACGGACGACGGACGACGGGCGACGGGCGACGGGCGACAGACGACGCCGACGACGCCAACGACGGACGACGCAAGACGAAGACCGACGACGACGACGACGTCGTCGACGACGACGATAACGACGAGTACGAGTACGAGTACGACGACGGACGACGGACGACCGATGATCGCCAGTCGCCGCCCCGCGCCCATGGCCTCGTCGTCCGCGGACGCGTCGTCGTCAGCGTCCTGGCCAGCCGTGCCGCGGAACGCTCGGTGGGCGCCAGCGGGAGGTGGGCAGCGAAAGGAAGGACACTCGCGTGCGCGCTGGGGCGCGGTCCCGCTATGAACGGAGCGGCGGCGCCGTGGCACCGAGTACTGGAAGCAAAGCTGGAGGAAAGTGACAACAGTGCCGTGTGAGCGCGATGCGAGGTTGGAGGGAGCGGACGAGGGACGAGGAAGGGAATGGGCGACGGGCGAAATGCCCGGATACTCGATCGTCAATCCTCCTGCTCCTCCTCCCCCCCTCCTCCCTCCTCCTCCTCCTCCGGCTCCTCCTCTTCCTCCATCCTCGCTTGCGTCCCCATCCTCCTCCACCCTACTCCTTCTCCATCCCTTTCCTTATGAATAACTCTTCCCTGTCGAACCCCACAGGCGTATCGGTAGGGCTGGCTGGGCGTATTCGTCGGATACTCCCTCGCCATTTATGGCCATGAAGCTTGATCATTGCAACAGTTTCACAGATGAAGGGTGGGTCCGTTTCAAAAATTGCTCGCGCATACGCGCCGCGCACATTCGTTTCTAAGGATTGCAACAGTTTCACGGATGAACGTCGGGTCCTTTTCAAAGTATCACTCTCACCGTAGCGCCGCGCATAATCGTTTTCGAATGTGTAACGGTTTCACAATTGAAGAGCGGGTCCTTATTAAAAATGTGGCTCCCGCCATAGTGCCGCGCAGAGCTTCCAGGAATGATGTTCTGGCAGGACTTAATGTTGTCAGGGCGCAACAATCACTCTGATTCGCGGTGATGAAGTCCCAGAAAAAGGGTACTCTGTCACGGCTTAGAGCTGTCAGGACGCAACAGTCACGTTGATCCGCGGCCTTGAAGTCGCGAGAACTGTGTTTTGGCACCCTTTGAAGTTTCTCAAGCTATTGTCTTATAATGAGCCACTTCCCGCAATGACCAAAACTTTTCGGGACCTATAATAAGGAGGGACCTTGGAGGAAGGGCTTTTTGCAACATCGTTGATGCACGTTGGATTTACACTGGTCCGCCTCCTTCTACCCGCTCTCGTCCTCGCTCTCCTCTTTGAACAAGAAGAACGACATAACTTGGAGGTCCGCGCGGACTTCTTGGATCTGCGCCTGGTGAGGTATGGCTGTGAAACCCTCCCTGGCGCGCGGAGCATGCCAAGGGCGTCGCTGGAGGCGCCGCCAGGGGGGCCGCACCGCAGCGTGGACGCAGAACAACGCTATGCAAGCATCAGGCCGCATCGGATCGTCGGAATATCGCAATCGAATCGGATCGAGGGGGCCGAAATCGACATCGAATCGGATAGACCGAATCGAAGCGGGCCCTGGAAGGACCCACCCTGAAGGGCCCACTGAAAGGGGCTCTTGCGCGCGAGGACGGACACGGCGCCATACCCACGAACACCACCATCGAGGATCGGGGCTGGGCATGCCTCCCTGAACGGTGCTTGCACTCAGGGGGTCGTGCTTGGGTTGCCTTGCCCTCAGGGGGTCGTGCTTGCACTCAGGGGGTCGTGTGGCGGGGATTCGCCTGTTGCCTGGGCGGTGCCCGTCGGTGCCTCCCCGTGGGCGCCTCGCGAGCGCCCCCGTGCGCTGGGTGGGCGCGGTGGGGCTTCGCCCGCCTGGTGTCCCCCATCGGGGCCTGGCGCTGCCTATCACACAACTAGGACCATATCGTTTAAACCGCATGCTTTGCAGGACCAGCCTGACAGTCACCATCTATAAATAGGATGTGCTGCTCCATCACGGCTGCCCCTGCATCTGTGCATCTCCCTGCGCCTACTGCACTGCACCCCGGTGAGTAATCGAATGCCTCCGATAATCCCAGGTGGGGCATAATGAAATCCGGGGCCCGGAGGTATAATCAACTTTTCCCGGCAAGTCGCGGCAGAAATGTTGAGGGGAAGGAGGAGCAGGGGGGAGCAGGAGCGGGTGCCTATGGGGCCACAGACCGTGTCAGGAGCGCCGACACATGTGGGCACCGCCACTGGCACCTTCCAAGGAGCTCCGTGTCGGGCCACGAACTGTATGAGGGGTGAAGCAAAATGGAGCCTATGAGCGATGCTGATGATAATGATGCCAATGATGATGCTGTTGATGATAACGATGCTGATGCTGATGCTGATGCTGATGATGATGATGACGATGATGATGATGATGCTGATGCTGATGATGAGGATGATGATGATGATGCCGATGATGCTGATGATGATGCTGCTGATGATGATGAAGATGATAATGGTGCTCATGATGCTGTTGATAATGATAGTAATAACGATGGTGATAGTGATGCTGATGCTGATGCTGATGCTGATGCTGATGATGGTAACGATTATGATGATGAAGATGATGATGGTGATGATGATGAGACTGCTACTCATGATAAGACGATTCAATACATGATTGGTACTCTCCCCGGAGATAATGAAGTTCCGACCCGCCGCTCCCCACCGTCAAACAAAACTGTGTTGGTCGGAGACCATCATGATGTTGGTGGGAGGAGGGGGGGGGTTATGCTTTGTTATCGGGGGGCTTGTGATTGACTTACCCAGTGCCGAACTCACCCAGTGCCAGTCTCACCCGGTGCCGAAAACACCACGCGCAAAACTCGTCCGTCACCCACCCTCCGTCTTCGCACGCGTCCCCGTGCACTCCCGCCTCCTCCCTAATTCTCCCCTAACGTCCTCTTTATCCTCGGCCTTTTACTCATTAACCTTCTCATCCTCCTCGTCGTCCTCCTCTGGAAAATCACCAAAACACTTGGAAACAAAAAACGATCCCAAACCTCATCCTGACACGCGTTGTCGAAAAACGAAAGAAAGCAAGTCCAACGTACCCAATAACTCCATTGACAGCTCCAGGACAACCCACTGATTTGCTTGACTGCAGAAGGCACCTGAGTCAAACAAATGTACAGCAATCGCGCCCACTTGCAGCGCCGTCAAGACTACACGCTTCCATCAGACGCACGATGAACAAATCGCAACGCCGAACGTAACAGAAACAAAAACACGATCGCTCCAGACTCGAGCTGACAAGGAGGGGGAGAATAATGAGGAGCGGGGGAGGCAAATTTGCTTGACTACAAAACGGTTCGCAGTGCAGCAAATGTTCAAAGGTCTTGCCTTGCCCAATGGACCCCAGACAGCAGGCCAAACGCAAACGATACCATACGCTAACTGACGCGATGTCACGCGGCAGTAGAAACGCCCAGCTCGAACTAACGCTAGATTATCTTTTTAAGCCTAGCCTCCGCCAGGAGACACCAAGGTGCGCTAGGGATAGGCGCGGCTGGGAGCGAAATAGAAGACAAGCCAGTTCAATCATAACAAAACCCAAGGGACAACTCTCGGGCGCAAGTTTCGTCTACAGTTGAAGAACAGCAGAACTCACAAAACCCACTGACACCACAACGAGCATTCATTTGCCAATCAGAAATCCGACACTCACAATACACTCGAATGGTTTCGGCATCCCGGGCTCCTGGACAGAAGGAGGAAGAAGACAAAGAGGAGTAGGGGGAGGAAGAGGAGGAGCTGGAGGAAGGCAAGGAGGTGGAGGAGAACAAGAAAGCGGAGAAAGAGGACGACAGGACGACAAGGGAGTGGAGGTGGTGGACGAGGCGAAGGATAGGTGATGATGCTGATGAGGAGGAGAAGGAGTAGGAGGAGGAGGACGAGGGAGAGGGGGACGAATGAGAAGAGGAAGAGGAGCGAGAGATGACGACGACGACGACGTCGATGACGACGGCGACTCCAGCACGGGCGCGCCGCCTCGCCCGGCGCGCCCACGAGCGCGAGGGCGACGGGCCCGTCCCGAACGATCCCGCGAGCGACGAGGCTGCAGCTTTGAAGGGGCCCTGGGACACACAAGTGAATACACTCAAATAAAAAGATTCCCCATATTTTCCCCTATTTTCTGGGTTTTTATCGTCCCCCCCACTTCCCATAATTTCCCATATTTTCTGGGGAATCGCCGATGAATTGTATCTGTGTGTTTCTTGCCCTCCTGCAGCTTGCTGGGCATATGTTGAGAACCCACACGCGCAATGCACAGGCGGTCGGACGCCCGCTCGACCGCTCGGGTCGGCGCTGGGCCCCGATCCAGGCGCTGCCCCTGGCGTGAGCAAAAAGCTTGGCCTCGGAGCGATCCGGCGCCGAGTCCAGGACATCCGCGCGGGCCTCCGAACATTACTGATCGTGCCATCGTTTCCCGTTCTGGGCGGCACTCCGCCCAGGCGCCCCCCACAAGCGAAGAGGCGACATCCACTAAGCAAGAGGCAAGAATCAACACGCACAGGCTTTCGGATGCCTGTTCCTTCTTAGTGGTATTATTATGGTGGCCGAGGCGCACAAGCCCGCCACCAGCATTTCCAATACGACTTCACAATTTAGCTGACTACGCAGAGTTCTGCGGACAACCAACTTCCCAAAGGCCTGACATTCCCCAATCGACCGTCCTGCTCTCCGTCTGCTCCTCGTCCGAATCGTCCCCATTGTGCGTTCCACCTCTTCCTTTTCCGCCTCCTGTTCCTCCCCCCCTCCTCTTCGCCCGCGTCGTCAATATACCCCTTTCCTCATCCTCCTCCTCCTCCGCCCGTGTCCTTGTTACTATCGCCGAAAACCCAAGAATACCGAAAGCGCGCAAGACCGCCCCCTGCAAATCGAAGACGGCCGTACAATATGCGTGGGCACGAAAACTTTGGCACACAACCACGTTTTCAATAGCCTGGCCTTCCGAAGTCCAAGACGGGGAAACACTCGCAAGGCGGACAGACAAGCTCGCAAACGCAGCCGTGACAGCCCCAAACTAATCTGGCCATTCGCTTCACTACAACCCGTTTTGTAATTGAGCAAATGTGGATCCGACAACCCCGTTGTGAACTCATTCGGCCCCGCAGAATTCACCCGGTGCCTCACGCACCCCCGGCGCCGGTCAATGAATCCCCGAAACCACCCGGTGCTAAACGCGGCGCCGAACTCACCTGGAGCTCGTAATCCACCGAAAGCCTCAACTTATCCGCTATGGCTGAATCATCCGGAACCCTTAACTCACCCCGTGCCTCAAGCTCACCCAGAACGCACAGCTCACCGAGTAAACGTAACTTAGTCGGCACGCCTAATGCACACAATGCCTAAACCTTCGAGTTGATTTTTCCGGTGCCAATCCTGCGGAGCCGAACGCCTCCGGCGCCAAACTCATCAGGCACCAGACGCATACGGTGCAAACTCATCCAGTGCGTCACTCATGTGGTGACAAACGAACTCGTCCACTCTCCAACGCATATGAAGCCTAAAATACCCGGTAATTTAGTCATCTACGCGGTGCATAACTCATCCGGTTACGTATTCACCCAGTGACTAATTCATTCAGTGCCTAACTCTCGTATAGGTTCTAACTCAGATGGTGCCTAAGTCATCCGGTGCCTACCCCATCCGGTGCCTAACTCATGGGGTGCTTAACTCATCGGGTGCCTAACTCATCTAGTACATAATTTCACCCAATGCCAACTCATCCGGTGCCGAGCTCATCCGGCGCCTAGCTCCTAGCTCACTCCAGATGATGCCGTCGTCGACGCACTCGACGTTCCTAGTACGGCGGCGGGGGCAGCCGCCAATGCCGCCGCAAACGACGCCGCCGACGTCATCGCCACCGCGACGACGATGACGGCAGCACGACAATGATGGCGACTGCGCCGCGGCCGTTTGGGGAAACAAGAACGCTACTCCCTGGGCCTCTCCCGGGGTGCGCTCTGACCAGAAGATCGAGGCGAATCCAGCCGTGGCGACGAGGGCCTCCCAGGAGGCCCCCAGAAGGCCCAACGCAGGCGAGAACGAGGCAAGGGTAGCGGTCTCGGTTCCTTTTCCTCCTCTGGGTCGCCGTCGCCGCCGCCGCCGGCGTCGTGGCCGCCGCGCTAGACGCCGCACCCGCCGCGTTCCACGCCGCCGCCGCCGCCGTCAGCGACTTCGGCAGCGGCCCGCCCGGCCGGCGGCGAGCGCGGCCGGACGGTTCCTCGCCGCCGTCGCCGCGCGCGGAGGCGCCCGAGGCGGCGGAGGCACACCGCGGCTGCCTGTGCGCAGGTGCGCGGAGGGCGCCCTCTGCGCGGGGGGGCCGGCCGCGGTGGGCGCCCTGACCGAACCGCCTGCAACGAGCGCCTTGGCCAGGGTGCCTACAGCGGGCGCCCTCCGCAGAGGGCAGCGACGACGACGACGACGACGACGACGACGACGACGACGACGACGACGACCACCACAGCGATCACGACGACGACGGCGACGACGGCAACAGCGAAGGCGACGACAGCGTCTCCAGGGAGGTCCCCGAAACGAGCATCTAGAGGGCGCCTCGCCCTGGCGGCACTGCTGGGGCCACTCGCTGCATCCGTGCGTCACTGCTGCGTCGAAGCGTCCGTCGACTTTGAGCCTCCCTTGAGCCGAGCTTAAGTCGAGCTGGAGTCGAGCAAACACTTTGGGTGGGCCCCGGGGGGCAGGCGGGCCCGAAGACCCGAGCGATCGCTGGACCCTTGACGAAACTGCGCTCGCAGCCCTCCGCCCTTGCCGCGATCGCCCTCGCCCGCGACCCTCCCATGACGACGACGGCGACGATAGCGACGACGACGACGACGACGACGACGGCGGCGGCGGCGGCGGCGGCGGCGAAGACGACGACGACGACCACCACCACCATCACCACGGCGACGACGACGGCGACGACGGCGACGACGACGACGGCGACGGCGACGACGACGGCTGCATTGCTCGAAGGCTGTATTGCCAAATCTGGCCCTCAGGCCGCAGCACCCCCCGTCACACGTGCCCCTCCGCGCCTGGGCCTTCGGACCAGCGCGACTGGGGGGCGGAAGGAGCTCCAGCGGTAACCCCTCCCTCAGGCCGAGCTCACGCGCGCGCGCCGCCGCCAGCATGCACCCGTGCGCACTGCGCCCACGCCCTCGCGGCCAGGCCCACGAACCGGCATTTTACTGCCAACTCCTGCAGGTCCACTGTGTCCTCCAGCGCCCCGCGGCAACCGGCTGGCCCCCACGCACAACAGCACGCATCGCGCAGCCCACGCAACTCCACGCATTCGCTGGGCAAATGCCCAAGGCCTGCGCCAGACACCGCGGGCGCCCCAAGCACCTTGCCGCACACCAGGCACGCGCCGCTGTCGTAACGGCCGCGCTCCGGCCACCACACCTCTGCAGGCTCGCGCGCCATCACCCTGGCCACTGACCAAGCCCGAAAGCACCTTCATGGCGCCCAGCACTGCCCGGGAGCCAGCGGCGGCCGCAGCGGTAGCAACGACGACGACGACGACGACGACGACGACGACGACGACGACGGCGGCGACGACGGCGGCGACGACGACGACGACGACGACGACGACGACGACGGCGAGGGCAGCGACAACGTCGACAGCGACAGCGACGACGACGACGACGCCTCTGGGAAGATCTCCAAGACGAGCATCTAGAGGGCGCTTCTCTCTGGGGGCCCTGCTGGGGCCACTCGCGCCACTCGTGCGTCACTGCTGCGTCGAAGCATCCGTCGACTTTGAGACTAACTTGAACCGAACTTGAGTTGAGCTGAAGGCGAGCTGAAAACGAAGTGGAAACGAACAAATCCGCGCGGTGTGCCCCAAGAAGTTCCCCGAAACGAACATCCGTGGAGAAACAGAAAGGTACCCACACCGCTACTCTCCCGACACATCTGGGGGTGCGTTCTGACCAAGATTTCGAGGCGAATCCAGTCGTGGTGACGAGGGCAGGGCAGCGGTGTGGGCAGCATTTCGTCCCCTGAATCTAGAGGGCGCTTCTGGCGGTAGCCCGTCGGCTGGGCTTTCGAAAGCACCAGGCGGCCCAAACCGCAGGGGGGCGAGGCGAGATCATCTCCGAGACCCTGCAGGCGGAGGCCTGAGACGTCATCGATGCGGAAGGAGGAGGGAGGGGGGGGGAAGAGGGGGGAGGGGATGAGGAGGGAGGAAGAGGGGAGACGAGGAGGGCGAGGAGTGCCGGGGAGGGGGCGACGAGTGGCGAGGTGGCGGAGGAGGGGGATGTGGCAACCTCGCAGTCCGCAGTCTTCACTCTGCGGCGGCCACAGGGGCCCTGCAGGGGGCGCTGCTTGGGGAGAAAAAAGGGGACCCAGGCCTGGTGCGCCATGGCACCGAGGTCCAACGAGGCGGAGGAGGAGGAGGAGGAGGAGGAGGAGGAGGAGGAGGAGGAGGAGGAGAAAGAGGAGGAGGAGGAGGAGGAGGAGGAGGAGGAGGAGGAGGATTCTTTCAACATTAAAAAACTGCCACCAGCTAAACTGGAGGAGGAGGAGGAGGAGGAGGAGGAGGAGGAGGAGGAGCGGAATGAGGAGGTTGGACCGCGACGCGAAGCGCGGCGATGCTCGAAGCGTGATTGTCGCGCCCCCGCGGGCGACACAGCACGAACGACCGAACGACCGAGCGACCAGAACGGCGACCACAACGGCAACGGCGCACAACGAAACACCAAAAAGCGACGGCAGACAACCGAAAACCAGACGGCGAACGACCGCACGAGCAAACCACGCCTGCATTCTCGAGCACCCGAACGACCGAGCGACAGAACGGCTGCGCCTGCGAGGACGGCCTCAGACATCCGAGGCCGTGACTTGTCCACAACGTGGGTTTCCAGACGATCTGGGACTGGCCTTTCATCCCGAGTCTTCCCTGATTGCCCCGGGGCTTGGCAAAGGCCCCCTGATGCGGGCAAGAACTGTATCCATATCCAGTGAGTCTGGGATTTTCTTGAAGGGCCACCCCAGAGTTGTATTGCACGCCCCAGATGTATTGCAGCCCCGCAGATCTATTGCACCACATCTCTATTGCACCACGCCCCTGTCGCTGGACCCCCTTTGGGGTCAATCCGAGCAGTGGCCCAAAGCCCTCCGTTGCGACCTTTCCCACGACGCGGGCGGGGTCTGCGTCGGGGGGCCGCGAGGTCGACCCCCGGACCTGTGTTGGGAAGCACCCCCTGCCAGACCTTCGAGGCGGGCCCGTCCGCGGCGACGAGTGCGAGGCAGGGATCTGTCCAGATCCACCGCCTGGGAACCGACGTCCTGCTGCCCCAGCGGGCGGTGAATATGGATATATTTCGGCCCCCAGGGGCACAAATATGACCATATCCGCCGCCTGCCGCGGCTCCGAAAACTGACCCTAGGCGGTGGTCATGTGTAAATTCCCGCCTCGGAGAGAAGCCCCCTGGAGGCCCCTTGGAGGCCCAGACTCGGAGAGACGCAAGGCCCGGGTTCGAGGGGCTCGGGTTGGCCTGGCGAGGCCGTCAAGAAAAAACGACGAGACCCGGCCTGAAATGAGACGCGAGCTCCCGCTGCATTCTCTCCCGCGGACACGGAACCGTCAAATTCCAGGACGGCCTCCCCCCGAAAAGCATGCAAACCTGCGTTTTGGCGAAGCCGACTCTCACGAGAGTGTGATGTCTTACCCTCTGGGCCAAAACGCGCGTGATGCCCCCTACCCTCCCTCTCCGTCTCCCTCTCCCTCCCCCTCTCCCCCCCATTACGTATAACGCTGCCCCCCCTCAGTGCTCCCCTGGCCCTGCCGCAGAACGTCCGGCACCAGTCCGCGGGGGGGGGGGGGGGGCAGAGGGTGCCACGTCAGGCCCCCGTCCTCCCCCCCAAGCAAAGGTCCGATCGGACGCCTCAAAGCGTCACGCCCCACTCGTGAGGACGGCGAAACTGTAGAACAGGCCTGACATGGCGCCTCCCCCCCTTCCCTCCACCCATAACGCTCGGCATGGCCGCGAACAAAAGACTGCGCTCTACGCTCAGGTCGGGCATGTCCCCCTACAGGCGGACTCTGGGAGAAAAAAAAGTAGTCAAACAATGCTCAAAAAATACTCACTGATACGAAAAAAGGTCGCCCCCAGCCCATTTTGTTTTATGTTTGAATGCTCCTCCTGTAGGGGGACCGGCCCGACCTAACGCTACGCTTCCTCGACCGAAGGGAGAATATCACCCCCACAGACCTCCGCCCTCGACGTTCGAACCCTCCGCCGTGACTGGGCCACAGCGCGACGAGGCCGGGCGGCGGCGAAGAGGCCCGCGCGGGCCGCCTGGCAGGCGGGGGCGGCAGCGAGAGCGGCGCGTGCGGCGGCGAGGCGAACATGAGCCCCACGCAGCGCACCTGCGACTGGATCCCGCGCCCTCCTCCTCTCTTCTCGTCAGCCCCCTCATTGTCCTCTTCTTCCTCCTCCTTCTCCTCCTCCTCTTCCTCCTCCTCCTCCTCCTTCTCCTCCTCCCCCTCCTCATCATCGTCCTTCTCCTCTTCTGCCTCATCGTCCTTTTCCTCCTCCTCGTCCTCCTCCTCCTCCTCCTCCTCTGCCTACTCCTTCAAGCCCCGAGGGTGAAGAGCAATCCTTGCGCGTGCGCCGCTGGTGGGGCGGCGCGCGGCGGCGCGGGCGGCGCGCACAGGGCCGACGAGGATCCTGCTGTCAGAGTCTCGCCTACAGAGTAGGAGCTGGACCAGAAAGGAGGAGGAGGAGCAAGAGGCGCGCCCGCCGAAGAGGGGGGAGAGAGAGGTCCGACGTCCAGCACCCCACCCAGCTCGCACGCAGCACGCGCGCGGGGCGGTCCTCGGCGACCACCGCGATCACCACGGTGACGGCGGCCGCCGCCGCGCGCATGGGAGATTCGACCGACACACTGACCGGCCATGAGTGCCGAGACAATTATAAGGACCTGCAGTGCTCAACTGGAAGTAAACAAGCAAGGACACAGCCCTAGGTAATCAATTCACCCCGACCCAGGGCCTGAATGAATTTGCTCCGCCTTGCACCGACACGCAATCTGGCCTTTACCAGGGAAGAGGTATACGCAGGAGTGATACAGACAGAGGGAGAAGCCCGAAAAATCTGGAAACACTTATGCATAGGATCCACAGCAACAAATTGCGACAGCAAACACTCACAGGACGGAGCGAGGAAGAGATGGGGGAGGATGGAACTCAGAGGCCGATCTCCCCAACATTCAGGAAGCCAAGGAAGAACACTCCGAATACTCTGGACCAGAACAGGGCAAATCGAATAATGGAGCAGGTCGTCTCCGCTCACAGCGTAACAGCCGAATCCACATACTTGCACCGCCTGTCTATACCGACGAGTGGTATTCCATCCATTAAATATAGTTTTCAGACAAGCAAATAAAATATATCCAGGAAGTTCGGGACCAGCAAACCCAATACGGATAATCGCCAAGAACACATCGGCAGCCATAATATCAGGGACCCATTTTTCAACCTTGGAAATATAACATCCTGGATACTCGAAAACTCACGCCGTCTATTCATAAGTATCATCTTGGCCACCCTGGCCTGGACAGCTTTGGGCTGGCAGTCCAAGGGGCGGTGAATCTGGAAGAACTGATTATACAGGTCCCAGATCCTTAGATATAGGGAATCCTTCGCATAGGGGCTATACCTCCATGCAGCCACAGCCTCGTCCGAGTCTGCACACTCCTGCAACTCACTTTTCAGTTCATGGAACTTGTCAGAGTTGATGGCGGCACGCAGCATGCAAGCGCGAGCATGGGCTTCCAGTATCCGCGCCTCCACACGGCGGCCTAAATCCCTGAGCTGATGCAAGGTCTCAGGAGGGAAGGCAAACCTCGGAGAGCAGGTGAGCCTCTGGAGAATGTTCTTTTCAGCGAGGCGAACTGATTTGGGGGGGTCCCAGACCTGCGACACGTGGCTCACGACGGGCAAGGCGTAACTGTTGCATGCAGAGACGCTAAAAGATAAGCCTCCCCCCATCTGCTTCACCTGCAGCGCCCTCCCCCCCAAGGTAGTAACCATTTGCTTCCAACTCTCCTCCCTCCCCACCGATGCCCAGGTACACGCCCAAATATTTCCCATTCTTGAGGATCTTAAATTGGCGAATGTTCACACCCACTCTCTGAAGATCACCAACTGCAGATTCACGAAAGGCTGGTGAGGGGATCACCAGCACGCACTTGGCCAGGTTCAAAATAAGGCCAGACGCTTTGCCACCGTCAGAGAGCACTCTCAATATCGTCGGGAGGCTCTGAAGCACGTCACGACAGCACATGCCTATGTCGTCCGCGAAGGCACCCATCTCGGTGGGCAGACTCGAACATATTTTACGGATTCTCGTCAACATCGAATTAACACACAGACAGAAAATCAATCCAGAAATGGGACAGCCTTGTTTAACACCCCCTCTCACTGCAACATATACAGGCTCGCAACCATGGGTGCCAATACTCATACTCATATCCGAATATAGCGACTTGATAGCCCGACAAATATTCTGAGGGAGATTAACACGCAGTAAGACAGCCCAACTATATTTGTGAACGACACTGGGAAAGGCATTTTTCACATCAAAAAGCGCCGAACCGATCCGAGGGGAAACGTCCATCATGGCCCACTCCAGGAACGCAGCGTCCAGGGAAAACACATTGTCCAGAAGCTGGCGGCCTTCGACGAAACCTTCCTGGCAAACCGCAGCGGCGTCCTTCACAGCCTCTGAGACCGCAAAGCCGACGCAGCTGGTGACTATCTTGTTGTCAGAGTTCGATAAAGACGGGCCTCGTGCACGCTGGCGTACGAGCAGCGGTATCGATGCCGCCTGGACAGTCCTTAGGCAGAAATACACCTCTCGCAACACTAAAATCAGGAGGGAGGCGCCCAGTCTGCATCATCCTCAAGTACATTTCGTACAGGATATGCTGAGCCGAATCGCCAGCAGATTTCCAGGCGGCATAGGAAACTCCATCAGGCCCAGGGGCGGTGTTTTTCTTCCATAGGAGAATACCCTGAAACTTGCTTTCAGGGATCACCCAAGGATAGAAAGCTAAATCACTGCCTTGGTAGTGGAACGGGTGGGGGGGGATCGGGATGATCTCGGAACATAAGTCCTCAATGCTTTCATCACTAGCCTGGACATCTTGGAAGACTGACCCCCAGTACAAAGCAAGAATCTCGGCGCACCTCCGTCCATCAGAGTAATGCTGGCCATCAACGTCAGTGACCTGCTGCAAACAAATCCTGCGGCCACAAGACCGCCAGGCACGAGACATATCGCGAATGCGCTGCACAGCAGCAGAGCACTCGGCCTCGGCGATGTCCGCCTTAGACTTCTCAATACTTGAACAGAGCGCCGCTTCACGCTTGGAACATATATCCCTCATCAAACTCCCAAGGTGCAAATCGAATGCCCCGCGGCCCACCCAAATATTCAACTCCAAATCATAAAACTTCCCCAAGGCAGAATCACCAGAGATCGCTTTCTTGGCACTGCGAAAGCGCCCTCCACGAGCGGCCCGAGCCAATTTTAAGCAACAAGATACTCGTTCCTCAAGCGACTCAGCTCCTTGACTGGCAATATGGGCCTTAACGCGCCCAGCTGCGTAATCGAATGCATCTTTGATGCCCTGCAGCTGCTCGTCTAGATTCTGGCCTAACTCCTCCGGCACGATAAGGTCCTGGACCACTTCCTGAAACACACGATGGTTGGCCACCCAAACAGGAATCGGGGTCGGACCCTGGGGTCTCCACGGCTCCAGCTTCAGAAACACAGGAACGCGATCCGAGGGTTTGGCAAAATCGGAGGCAGGCCAGACGACACCCGTTCTCGGACACAGGTCGAAGATGTCCTGAGTGGGCAGGGGACAGTAAAGGCGGTCTAACCGACCGTGCGACCACATTCCATCACGCAGAAGACGGTGAGTATCATCTCCCTGGGAAACTTCAGCCAAATACGGAAACACAGACGAGAACAACGAGGCCAGACGGCTGGTGCTGGGCCCATCAAGGCCCGCGGTTGCACTGACCCTGGACCCCCCGACCTCCAAGAAGTTAAAGTCCCCGAAAACGAAGCTCGTGACAACATCTGGCTTCCCGAGCACTTTGTTGATCTTCAAAAACACATCTCTGAGCTCATTGGTGCCCCACTCAGGATCGAGGTGGAGGTTGAGGAACTGCAAGTTACCCTTCTCGGAGGACGCGCGCAGTAGAGTGATGCGACCAGGAACCACCGCCACAAATTCATACTGAGACCAGCTGCGGAGAAACTCACGAGAGACAAGAAGGAGATTGCCACCTGCAGAAGGAGACTCACAGAAGCTGCCAAAAACTTGGCGTGTCCGAGCTTCTCTCTGGAAGTGCACGATATCACCCTCGCCGCCGTGGGGCTCCTGGATCCCGAGGACCTGGGACTTACTGAGCAAGGAACGGATATGAGACAACTTAGAACGGAAGCTGGATTGGCTCGAATGGACAGAGCCGAGGACAGTCTGAATATTCCAACTGCAGATGCCAATAGAACAATCAGGAACACAAGGTTGCGAAGAGGGAGGAGGGGGACAAGGATCCGGCACAGGCTTGCTACGCCGAGAGCGTGCTCGTATATTATAGAACGTGTCAGAGCACACGCCTCCAGAGCCCGCGATGGCCTCTTTGCACGAGCTACGGGCATCACTTGAGCGATGCACCGGGCTCTCCCTCTGCAAGAGACTACTAGCGGGCAGCCATCCTCTGCTCGAGCGAAATGCATCCTGCCGAGGATGCTCACTCCCCCACAGCAGAGGCGACACGCAAGAGACGGCACGGCGCTCACGGAACTGCCTCACTGGTGGATCCTACAGGTAGCTCTAGACACGGCCCGCCTGGTGCGCGACATTGAAGACCTGCTGAATCTGCTCGGCGGAGATTCCCCACAAGTTCAGCTCCTCCTGAACGGCATAGAACTCCTCCGTGGACTCACTTCTTTTCAGCAACTTCACGATAATGAATACATCTTGCGGCGTGACTATCATCATCTCTCCTTTGAATCCGTTCACTCCGAGCTTACACTCATGCGTCCACGATTGATGACCACGAAGCAAGTCCAGAATCGGCTGGTAGATGCGGCTTATCGTACGTTGGCGGTCACGTACATCGATCGGCAAGTCATGGCGCACCCTCAGTGTATGGGCTGAACCATTTCGAGGATCTGTGCACTGAAGGGCGGATATGTTAACATTCTCACGGAACTGCTTGGCAGCGGCGAGCGTGCGAAATACAATTTTACAATTCTGGGCCACCGCATGAATTACTGTCTCATCATCTTGGAGGAGATGAGGATGTGCATTCAACACTTGACGGAAGTGAGCCTCACGAACATTCTTATGAACAGGTCGTGGAAAAGTGCCGACGAAGCGAACCAATGGATTAGTACCGACTTGCTGCCCACGACCTCGATTGCCATCTCCAGCACCACGGCCACCACCCGTCGAGGTAGCAGAAGTGGATGCAGCCGACGACGCTCCAGAAGATGCTTGCGATGCTAACTGCGATACTGCTTGGATCTGGGCGCCCAGCTGTTCGATCTGCGACTGGTGCAGCTGCAATGTGGACTGGGCCGTCTCAACACGCGAATCCAATGCTATGATCGATGCCTCATGGGTGGCCAACTGCACTTGCAGCGCAGCTGTAGACGAGTCGATGGATTTGGTGATGTTCGCCTCAATGCCACCCATCATCGATCGTAACTCCGCCATGACCTCAGGAGAAATGCCTCCATTGTATCCGCTGGATGCAGAGCCGCTGGGGACATGTTGACTTGCACCATTGTGATCTTCAGTACGACGATCTTCACTCCGACGACCCACTGCACACCGATGGTTCGTGGACTGATCAGACAGATCATCACTGCATGCACCACGGCTGCGACTGTGTGACCTGCGGCTCGGGGACCAGCGGCTCTCAGACTCAGAGTGCGAACTGGACCGATGTCGCTGACCTCGACGACTTGGGCTACGTTCCTCTCGAGCATGGCGATGGTCGTCTCTCACAGCCTTCTTGACACCCTTGCGGCCCATTGCAGCAGACGGGCTGACAGGACGGAATGAGTACCTCAGAAGGGTAGGATGTCGCAAAATGCGTACAAACGCACGGGCACTGAAGCTCCTGTGCCGCGAGGCCTGCCCTCGCAAGGTCGCCCTGAGCCGTCCCCTCGGCAGCGACCAGCGACCGAGCGTCCCCTCGCCAGGGAAGCGTTTCGAACTTGAGCCAAAATGGCTACGGAGGAGGAGGAGGAGCAAGAGGAGGAGGAGGAGGAGGAGGAGGAGGAGGAGGAGGAGAAGGAGGAGCAGGAGGAGGAGGAGGAGGAGGAGGAGGAGGAAAGACACCTCCCACAAAAAAAACAGCCCTGAGACCCCAGGACGTCCGTTGACTTTTGGTGTGGCAGCGCCACGCTCTCCATGGCAGAGCCATCGAGACCCAAGAAACCCAAGGCACCAGGGAGGCAAGCAGGCTTCCCTGGTGCCCTGGGGGGAGTGAGAAGCCTCCTCCTCCTCCTCCTCCTCCTCCTCCTCCTCCTCCTCCTCCTCCTCCTCCTCCTCCTCCTCATGGGTTTCCACTGTATGGCTTCTCACCGATGATCCTCAGCATGTGTGCCAGTGCCACCGTGCGTCTGTCCTCCGCGGCCCCTTCATGCGGCGCGGGCGGCGGAGTGAGGGCGGGCTCGGGCTGCGTGCGATCGGTGGAGCTGAGCTAGAACTAGGTCGGGCATGTCCTCCTAATTACAGGGGGATGTTGGATGAAAAAGAAAACATCGTCGAACAAAGATCAAAACGAACAACAAAAATGCTAAAACAAAATCGTCCCCGACTATGTTTTGACTATGCTTGGATATTCCCCCTAGGAATAAGGCCGACTGAAACCTGGAGGCCTCCTGGATGGGGTCCCGGTACATGGGGTCGGAGAATTGCTTCGCGTCGCCGGTGCATCGCCGATGCATCGGCGATGCATCGGCGCCGTCGGCGCTGAGAACCCTGGGCTCCACCTCGAGCCGCATCGTCGGTGCATCGGCGATGCGGCGCGATCCTCCGACCCCGTCCGCTCTGGCCCCGCCTGGGGAGGCCCAGAGGCAGGAGGGCGGGCACAGGCCGCGCGCCAGCGGTGGAGCTGAGCGGGGTCAGCACACGCTGGGCTGACAGACGCCCTGAGGATCGTCGAGCCCAACGCGGACAGGCAGCATACCAGTGCGAGCGAGCGCATCGCACTGGCGAAGCAGCTTCGGGGACGCGCCGACCCGGGTCAAGGCAAACCCGGGTCGGTCGGGCCTGACAGGATCTTTCAGGATCCTGCAAGATCGTGGTGCTGCGCGACAACTTGGGCCCGTGCAACCCTGGCCTTGCAGGATCCTGTAAGACCGCCTCTGGGTGGCCCCCGTTTGCATGAACCCCCGTCTCAAAAGGCTCCCGACAGCCGGGAGCCCGGCAGCCGGGAGCCCGGTACGCCCAGCCGAGAGGGCACGTGACATGTCTCGTCTTGGCGGCGAGCACAGGGGGGTATGGGGGAGGGGGGAACGCGGCTGCTTCTTATAAGGCACCGTCCCTACAACTGTAGACAAGGCCCGCACCCTCTGAGAGGCAGGGGGAGCTTCTAAGAAGCCTGCCCCCCTCCCCCATACCCCCCTCTGCGCGTGGCCGAGATACGTCTTCTCGCTGGCAGCACAGACCACCCTCCCAGGGCAGACACGGCCGCGCGCCGCACGCGCTCCCAGAGATCCGAGGTTCCGGAAACATTGGAGCGGCCAGGTTGTGGCCGTTGTCGGCCTCTGGGGGCCCCAAACTGGCCAACAGCAAAACGGCTCTTGGCGGCGCGCACAGGGGGGTAGGGGGAGTGGGGAGGGCTTCTTCGAAGGAGGCTGCTTCTTAGAAGGCGCCAGCCTTGCATCTATAGAGAAGGCCCGCGCCTTCTAAGAAGCAGGGGTGCTTCCAAGAAGCCCACCCCCCTCTGCGCGAGACTGAGGCTCGGGATGAAAATGCGGCCCCAGAGGGGAAGAAGTCCAGACCTCTGGGGGTCCAGGCACCCAAAAAGTCGGAGCGCTGGATGTATGGAGTTGTGGCTCCTCCGGCCAGGTGGGGTCACCGTTCGGCGGCGAGCGATGGGGGGAAGTGAGGAGGAGGGGGCCTTCTCGGAAGGCAGGGACAGAGAGGCTTCTCAGAAGCCTTCTGGCCTGCTGAGACGTGTTCTGTGCCTTCGGGGGGCAAAACTCAGAACACTTCTCAGAGGGCCAGGGCGCTTCCGAGCCTTCCGAGAAGGCCAGGCCCTTCTCCCTTTCCCGCCCCCCCCCGGGCTCGCCGCCGAACCGTGGCGAGTGGCAGCAGTAGAAGTCAAAAGATCCACCCCCATAAGAACCACCCCGACACGCGAAGTCGTTTAGCAAACGCGCCCGAAGAAAGAATCGAATAGGGCAGGGCTGTTCAGTAAACGCCCAAGGCCGTTTCGTAAACGCCAATTGTCCGGTCCAGGTGGTTTTCCTCCCTTGAGAACAGTGGCGAGTGGCAGCAGGGGCACCAAACCACCGCAGCGATGACCACGCAGGGCGTTGCAGGCGGGAGCGAGGCGGGAGCCGACGGCCAGCCAGCAAAAGGGGCCGCGCGGAGCCCCCTCGCCCCTGCACACCGGAGGTTGCAGGAAGCGACGCCGCGCACTGGCCGGTCCCGAGATGACGGGCCTTGCTAGGGGCGAGCTCTTGCCGTGATGGGCCTGTTTTCCACCACCACCACCACCAGAAGTTGGAGGGCGAGGGGGTCCTCCTCCTCCTCCTCCTCCTCCTCCTCCTCTTCCTCCTCCTCCTCCTGCTCCTCCTCCTCCTCCTCCTTCTCCTCCTCCTCCTCCTCCTCCTCCTCCTACTCTTCGTCTTCCTCCTCCTCCTCCTCGTCCTCGTCCTCCAGCGCCTTCCCCCCTCCAACGTATGGTGGCGGTGGTGGAAAGCAGGCCCATCATGCCGAGTTAGGCCTGGGATTCGGGCAGGACAGCGCGGATGCAGCGGAATTGGGCGGGATGTACTGGGATGATGCCGGATGAGGCTCCAGCCATGCGCACTGGACGCTGCAGAATGCCGCCACGCACCGCCGATCCCGATGACTGGTCTTTCCAGGACGGGGTTTTGCCCAATTAGGCCCGTGATTGGGCCAGACCAAGCCAGACGACGAATCAGACGACGACGGCGGCGGCGGCGGCGACGACGACGACGACGACGACGGCGACGGTGACGACGACGGCGGCGACGATGACGGCGGCGACGACCCCCCGAGAGGGCGCCAGCTGGTCCGCGGAGGCCAGGTGCAGCAGCAGCCGCGGCTCCAGCTGCGGCAGCGTCCGCACGACGCGGGCGGCCACCAGGCCCTGCGGCGCCCACGCCGCGGGGGGGGGCGCGCCGCCGTCGATCGTCGTCGCCGTGGTCGTCGCCGCGGTCGTGGTCGCGATCGTGGACGGCGTGGTCGTCGTGGTCGTCGTCGTAGTCATCGTCTGATTCGTCGTCGTCGTGGCCGTGGTCGTCGTCGTGAAGGTCGTGGTCGTCGTCGTGGCGGTCGTGGTCGTGGTCGTCGTCGGCGTGGTCGTAGTCCTCGTCGTCGTGGTGGTCGTCGTCGCCGTCGTGGTCGTGGTCGTGGTCAGCCGGAAGTGTTCGTCGTCGTCGTGGTCTTCGTTGTGGTCGTCGTCGGCGTGGTCGTGGTCGTCGTAGTCACTATCGTGGCCGTCGTCGTGGTCGTGGTCGTCGACGGGGTCGTGGTCGTCGACGGGGTCGTGGTCGTGGACGTGGTCGCTGTCGTCATGGTCGTGATCGTCGTCGTCATCGTCGTGGTCGTCGACGTGGTCGTCTCAGTCCTCGTCGATCGTCGTTGTCGTCGTCACCATCGTCTGCGTCGTCGTCGTCGTCGTGGTCGTCATCGTGCTCCTCGTTGTGGTCGTCGTCGTCGTCGTTGTGTTCATGGTTCTGGTCGTGTTCGTCGTGGTCGCGGTCGTCGTCGTCGTCGCTGCGGTCGTGGACGTGGTCGTGGACGTGCTCGTCGTTGTCGTGGTTGCGGACGTGGTCGTGTTCGTCGTCGGCGTGACCGTGGTCCTGGTAGTGGTCGCCGTCGTAGTCGTCATCGTCGTCGGCGTCGTCGTCGTCGTCTGCGTCGTCGTCAGAGTCGTCGTCGTCGTGGTCGTGATCGTGGTCATAGGCGTCGCCGATCGTCGTCGTCGTGGTCGTCGTCGTGGTCGTCGTCGTCGTGGTCGTCGGCGTCATCTCCGTGGCCGTGGTCGTGGTCGTCGTCGTCGGTGTCGTGGTCGTGATCGCTTGCGTCGTCGTGGTCGTGGTCGTGGTCATGGTCGTGGTCGTTGTCGTGGTTGTCGTCGTCGTTGTGATCGTGATCGCGGTCGTCGTCATCGCCATCATTCGTCGTTGTCGCGGTCGCGGTCGTGGTCGGCGTCGTCGTCGTCATCGTGGTCGTGGTCGTCGTGGTCGTGGTCGTCGTCGTCGGGGTCGTCATCGTCGGCGTCGTCTTCGTTGTTCGTTCGAAATTGGGGATCAGACCTCGAGGTGCGAGGTTTCTCATTAACCTTGGGCCCCCTGGGGCTTCTTCCCGGGACGAGAGGGGGAGGGTAGCCAAAGTCAGGGTCCGACCCCAGGGCTGTGGCCCACCTCTTCCACCTCCTCCTCTGCCTCCTCCTGCCATGCCGCCTTTTCCTCCTCGCTCCTCCTCCATCAAACCACGCACGTCTCCGGCGAGTGCCCTGGCCAGAATGCTTGGGGAGAGGGGGGCATCCTGCCGCGGCGCCAACGACGGAGAAGTCCCCCAGAGGCTCAACAAGAAGGGCGAATTCCCGAAGCCCTCGAAGCCGCAGGTCCTGGAGTTCCGATCCGCCACCAGTCCCTGTGCCCGTTGGGACGTGTTGCAGTTCTCGCCTCTGTCTGAAAGGTTTCTCCTAATTGTCTAGGGCCGACCCCCCCCTAGACTTAAGTCGGGCGTGTCCCCCTACAGGGAGATCGTTGACAAAAAAGTAAAAAATAATACTCTGAGAATATCCCAAAATCGTCAACCAAAAATAAGAGACTAGTCCCCAGACTACTTTTGAACTATTGTTTGACTATTTTGGGGGTATCTTTCATTTTTCGTCGAAAATCCCCCTGTAAAGGGACAGGCCCGACTGAACCCTAGACGGCACGCGTGCCTATGAGATCGCATCCCTCGAATTTGCTCTCCGGCAATGTTTTCGGCCTCCAGACGGAAAGGATGGCCTCCAAGACGTTTTCCAAGACATGCAAGGTGAGACTAAGACGGCCCAAGATGGCCCAAGACGGCTCAAGACGGCTCAAGACGCTTCGAAGACGGCCTTAAGACAGCTTAAGGCCCCCAAGACAGCAGGAGCCCGAGAAGTCAATACGATTGATTCCTTTTGAATAGTTGTGATGTTGATTTCCAACCGCCGAAGACGGCCCAAGAGGAACCAAATATCGCCCAAGAGGCTCCCAAGACGCCTATGAAGCGCTCCAAGAGGGCACCAAGACGGCCCACCGAGGCCCCCAAGGCGGCCTTCGAAAGCGTCTGGCGGGCCAAGAGTCCTCCGAAAACAAGACGGGCCAAGAACCCCAAGAGGCCCCCAAGAGGCCCCAGGATGCCGCCTAAGAGGCTCCAAGAGGCCCTAAGGAGGCTCCCAGGCGGCCCCAAGAGAGCCCCAATAAGCTTTCTCATCATTCTCACTTTCTCATGTTTGTGTTTCTCCTCCTCCTCCTCCTCCTCCTCCTCCTCCTCCTCCTCCTCCCTACCGCGCGGACGACGACGAGGTCGTGATCACGACCCTCCCCAATGCAGACCACTCGTCGGAATTGCGCTGTTCCTAAACTCAGCCTCCTTCCTGCTGCGATGTTGCACAGGCGTGGTAGCGGGATTCGCCGCAGGCACCTGGATAAACGAGCGAAGAAACTCCAGAAGACCTCCAACCTCGAATGATCGACGCGACGACGCCCGCGCCGACGACGACACCGCCGCCGCTGACGACAACGACGACGACGACGACGACGACGACGACGATGCCGCCGCCGCTGACGACAACGACGACGACGACGACGACGACGACGATGACGGCGACGACGACGGCGGCGGCGGTGTCGGCGAAGGCGTTGGCGGCGACGAGGCCCGGCGACGGCGCTCGACCACGACGGCGAAGCCGAGAGCGACGACGGCAGCGCCGACGACGCCGGCGAGCCATCCCGGTCTGTGGTGACTTTCGGGCCATAGCTCGGGTCTCTAGGGCTCAACTTCGCGCTTCGCGCTCCGCGAAGCGCGAATAACCTCGCGCCCTCGTGGGAGCCCTTGGGGTCTCTGGCGGCCGTTCGGGAAGGCCTGGGCATTCCAACACGCCCCTTGGGCGCAGCGCAGCTGCTCGAGAGCGTCTCGAGGCTGGAGGACCACCGAGGGCCAACAAATAATGCAAAAGTTTCATCGCCAGCGACGACGCCGACGCCGACGCTGATGTTGACGCCGACGCCGACGCCGACGACGACGAAGACGCCGCCGACGCCGACGGCGCCGACGACGACGACGACAGCAATCACGACGACAACAATCACGACGACGCCGCCGACGACGCAGAAGACGATGACGACGCCAATGCCGACGGCCGCCGCCGACACTGCCGTCGCCGCCGCTGCCGCCACCGCCGCCGCCCACGAAGACGACGACGACGACGGAGGCGGCGGCAACGACGACGACGACGACGACGACGCTGCGGCCCCCGCGGGGGGCGCCAGGGCGTCGCCGCGGGCGCGGCCGAACGCGCCGCCCAGGGTCTTCTTCCTGGGGCTGGTGTCGCCCGCCTCGGGAGGGGCGCGGCCGCGCCAAGAGGCCGCGCCACGGCTGGGGGCGAGAGGAGTGAAGGTCACGAGCGGCGGACGTTTCCATGTCCGCGCCCTCGCGGTCTGGATCCACGGGCGACGTGCCGCGGACACGCGGTCGCACGGGCACGTCCCGCACGGGGCGTCCGCGGCACGGCGCCCCGCCTTCGCGGGGCCGCGGCCCAGGACCACGGCCCCCGAGGCCGCGGCTACGGATGTGTGCTTCGCCCGCAGGGAGGAGGGCAAAAACAGTCAGCATCGAATCGGGAGATCAAATCGGGCCGGAGTGTGCGTCGAGTCGGGCCGCACCGACACCGGGCCGGGAACGGCAAGGATGGGACGCGCCAGGATGCACAGCCCCATCGTGCAAGCATCGTCGAAATGTCAGCACGGGGGAGCGGGTCCCGAGGGAAACGAGTCCTGGACCCCAGGGGCCGTCCCGCAGGACGAGTTCTTCATCCTGAGCCGGTTCCTGACACCCCCCTGCCTGGGCCCGTGCAAGGCCCCGAGGGCCCGGAGAAAGCGGAAAGCCTAGGGACCCGCTTCCCTCAGGTCAGGACCAGTTCCCCCCATGGCGAGAGCCGCGTCGGATCGTCGAACTAGCGACATCGAATCGGATCGGGCCGGCCGAGATCGACGTCGAATCGGATCGATGGGATCGGAATGGACCATTGGGATGGGGGGATCGGGTAGGAGAGGGGGCTCTCCCTTCTCCCCCCTCCTCGCCCTCTCCCCGCTGCCTCCCTCCTCCTTCCTTCGCCCTCCTGGTTCCTGGTTCCTGGCGGCATGAGGTCACGGTCGGTGCTGCCTCCCTCCTTCCTCATCCTCCTCCTCGCTGTCGGTGGTCCCTCCTGCTTCCAGCTCCTCCTCGCGACGCAGCGACCCAATCCCTCGGCTTTCTGGGACGTGCGACTGGACACTAAAATGGGGAGGTGGGAGGCGACGCGGGGATATACGACGGGGGCGGCGCCCCCCCTCGGTGTGGGGTGCGTGCCAGCAGCCCCCGTGGGGGCTTCTCACCCGAGTGCCCCTCCGTTCCTAAACGGCCAGGTTTTCGGAGGAGCGATTCTCGTATTTCTCTTCTTTCGTCCGCATGCCGCCACCAGCCCGCCGCCCGGCGCGGCTTTCTCCCGGCAGACCGGGAGCATCCCGTCAGAGAACTCTGGGGTTGGAGGGGGGCTTTGGGGCCCGGAGTCCCGTGAGGGCCAACCTGCGATAGGCGAGCCAACAAGCGAGACCTTGGCCTGTGCAGAAACATGTGGCGAGATGCGAAAGGCTCACAAGGTGTCTCGGGGATTTGGGGGCGAGGGCACTCTGTAGACGGAGAACTGGTCGGAGCAGGAAGCAGCGGCTGTCCTGCACCCTCTGGCGCGGGGGCGGCGGTTTCGCGCCACGTCCCTGCGCCATCCTGCGCGCAGCGGGGGTACCCGTTACGGGGTACCCGTCCCGGCAGCGCTGGCTCGGGCCGGGCGAAAGGGGGGGATATCAAAGGGGGGGTCTGAGAATCAGCTCACGTAGCTGATTTTCCCGGCGCCTCCCGGCACCAGAGGCGGCAAGGTATCGAGGAATGGGCCCCTCGGTGGGGCCGAAACCAGCTGCGTGCAGCAGATTTCGTACCCCCCCCTTTCCCAATCCCCCCCTTTCGTCCGACCCGACTGGCGGGCAGGGGCAGGTCGGGGGAAGGACTGGACCAGGGAAGGGAACATCGGCCTGGAATCGGCTGTACATCGCCGATGTGTCGGCCATGGGCCCACGATGGCGAAGCCGCACGGTCCCGGGCCGGGCGGGGCACCCATGCCGGACTGGCGATTCGGTGGGCGGCTGGGGGCCAATGCTGCCTTCCCCCATCGGCCAGCCCCCCCTGCTCGATGCCCCTGAGGAGGAGGAGGAGGAGGAGGAGGAGCAGGAGCAGGAGGAGGAGGAGGAGGAGGAGGAGGAGGAGGAGGGGCCCTGGCGTTGTTCCTTCGTCTCGGCCTGCGGGGGGCAGATGTCGGGGCCTAGGGGCACCAGGCTCCGCTGAGGACCGTTTCCAGGCCAGTGGGAGGGAAGTGCGGGCAAGATGTATATCCATATCCAGTGCGTCTTGGAATTTCTTGGAAGGGGCGCCACAAGGCCGAGGCGCACTGGATACGGATAAGAATCGAGCCTCTAGGGGGCAAGTCCATCCGTATCCAGTGCGACCCGGGTTTCTGGGGAAGGGATCCCGAAATTCCATACTGCCGTGAATATGGACAGAAGTCTTGCCCGCAGGAAGCACATGTCATTGCACCGGCCTTGCAGACGTGCTGCAGCGGATTTTTGCGTGGATTTCTGCGTGGGTGTTTTTTCCCGAAGCGGCGAGCGAAAAACGAGGCGAATTTCGCGTTACCTGTTCGAAATCCGGAGCGAAATTCTCCCGGACAATCTGGGCCCACCCTATCGTTTTCCGAAATCCGCTCTGCGATGTTGGCGCCATGGCACATGGACATTTACCGTCTTGGCGTGACCAGCACGCAGCAAAAAAAACACCGACTCATGAGCCGAGGGGATGGCCCTTGCCTAGAGCATGGAGCTCGGAATCTGCACGCAGTCTTCTCCGCAATGCTGGTGGTGGCGACAACGGCGGCGGCGACGACGCGCTACCCCTCCATGGGCGGACGATGATCGGTACAAAAGCATACCCTCTCCCCTGGGGTGCGCCTGTCCAGAGAGGCCCGGAAAGAGCATCACTGCTTGCCGCCATGGCGGCAGGAACCCTCTGGCCGCCCCACGGTGCCAAGTTCCGTCCCTAGGGCGGCTGGGAAGCCTCTACTACTGAGCGCCGCCATGGGGGGGCATGAGCCTTGCCCCACGGCGAGAGCTTTACTTCACGTAAGCTTTTTGTTGTATTCGGCGGTTCGACATTAGGCGCAAGGGGGGGAGGGTCGGGGGTCTGGCTCTGGACCTCTGCTCAGTGCGACTGTTTGGAACATGGCGCCCAAGATGGGGGAGGCTCCACCTGCCTGAAGCAGGCGCAAAAAAACAGCCAAGATCTACTCCACGGGGGGAGGGAGGGTGGGGTGCGAGGGCCCGCGCCGATCGGCAAAACAAACAACCAAAAAACGCTCACCAGAAAGCCCCATGGCGAGAGCTGTACTTCACACCGGTCCTCGTGCGCCGACTAAGGGGGCGCTCGGGGCGCGCGGGGGCGGCCTTGGCTGAGTCCCTCTTGTCCTCCCCGTGCCGGCCAGCCCAGTGCTGATCCAGGCCGTCCGCGAGCTGCATGAGCACGGGCCTCGCGGAAGGAGAGCGAGGGCGACGAGGGCAAGGGCGACGACGACGACGACGACGACGACGACGAGGACGACGAGGACGACGACGACGACGACGACGACGACGACGACGACGACGACGACGGTGGCGGCGACGACGAGGCGGAGGTGTCGGTTGAGGCGGAGGAGGTGGACGACGAGGTGGGGACGGACGAGAAGGAGCGGGGAGGGAGGTCCAGGAGGAGGATGCGGAGGACGAGGAGGTACAGGTTGACGGAGACAATGAGCAGGAGGAGGCAGAAGAGTATGAGGATGATGCTGACGAGGTCGAGGTCTCAAGGTCCAGGATGCCGCCGCCGACGACGACGACGCCCCCTCAAACATATCCAACCTCACCCTCCAGGACGCCTCTGGTGCCACCCACGATCAAGTGGTGCGGGTTAAGCCAGCCAATTACCCCCAGGACGTCGATGGTGTCTTGGGCCAGAACTCGGAGGTGGATCCAGCCGTGGCGACGAGAAGGCCTTCTGGAGGCAAGCAAAACACGAACAACGGGCAGGAGGGGGAGCACTCCAACTTCGATGCCGGAGCCTAGAACGATCGACGAGGAGGTCGAAGACGAGAACGACGACGACGACGAACACGAACACAAACACGAACAAGAAGACGATGGCGGCGGCTTTGGTGGCGACGGCGGCGACGAGGCCTGGCGAGAGCGCTCGACGAAGGAGTCGACGACGACGACGACGACGACGACGACGACGACAACGACGACGACGACGACGACGACGACGACGACGACGACGACGACGACGACGACGACGACGACGGTGGTGGCGACGCCTTCCTCCTCCTCCTCCTCCTCCTCCTCCTCCTCCTCCTTCTCCTCCTCCTCCTCCTCCTCCTCCTCCTCCTCCTCCTCCTCCGTCCTCCTCCTCCTCCTCGCCACCCTCGGTCCCTCCCCGCAGAAACTGGCCCATGGACCATCCTAGGGTGCGGTCTGACCAGAATTCTGACGGCGACTCCAGCCGTGACGATAATATGCCGCCCGAAGAACGGGTAAACAAATCACATAACAGCAGCTGCGACCAAATTCTATCCTCGAAACTCGATCAACGCCTCCCCCCTCCGTTTCCTGATCCTCCTCCCAACGTGCGCCCAAGAGGCCCGCACAGAATCAAAAAACCAAACAACCTCCTCCTCATCCTCCTGGACCCTGGAGCCCAGAACATCCCAGGAATCTCGGTCCTGGACTCTGGAATCTCGATCCTGGAACACTCGCCCTGGGACCTCCAGCCTGGACCCTGGACGATGCCTCACCCTGGAAGCTGATGATGAGGAGGAGGAGGAGGAGGAGAAGGAGGAGGAGGAGGAGGAGGAGGAGGGGGAGGGGGAAGGGGAGGAGGAGGAGGAGGAGAGGAGGAGGAGGAGGAGGAGGAGGAGGAGGAGGAGGAGGAGGCGGAGAAGAGGAGGAGTAAGAGGAGAAGAAAGCAGATGTTCAGGAAGACGAGGAGAAGGAGGAGGAGCCAAGACACTGGGTCCTGACCCCTCCTCCGCGGCGGCCATCCCCTGCAACGGGCCCGGCGGCACTGCGAGCCTCGAGCGGCCAAGCCAAGGACGACAACGACGACAACGACGGCGACGACGACAGTGGCGGCGACATTCTCCATCTCCGTCTTCCTCCTCGCCACTCTCCTCCTCCTCCTCCTCCTCCTCCTCCTCCTCCTCCTCCTCCTCCTCCTCCGCTCGTCTCCTCCCCTCCCTCCTCCTCCTCCCCTCCTTCTCCTCCTCCTCCTCTTCCTCCCTCCTGCTCCTCCTCCTCCTCGTCCTCCTCCTCCTCCTCCTCCTCCTCCTCCTCCTCCCTCCTTCTCCTCCTCCTCCGTCCTTCGTCCTCCAACCTTCGTCGTCCTCCTCCTCCTCCTCCTCCTCCTCCTCCTCCTAGACATCCTCCTCCTCCTCCTCCTCCTAGACATCCTCCTCCTCCTCCGCCCTTCACCATCCTCCTTACCACCTTGGTACCCTCGACAGGCGACAGGCGACGGCGGCGGCGGCAAGGCCTGGTGATGGTGCTCGCGGCCTGCGGCAGGGCCAGCGCCACTGGCAGGGCGCCTCTCGGGGTGGCCACCGCTGGTTGCGCCGCGCTCCCGACCATCCTCCTCCTGATCCTCCTCCCTCCCCACCTCCATCCCTCCACGCACCTCCTTCTGCCCTGCCATACTCCCTCCTCCTTCTCCTCCTCCTGCTCCTCCCCCTCCTCCTCCTCATCCTCCTCCTTCTCCTCCTCCTCCTCCTCCTCCTCCCCCCCCTCCTTTTCCCTCTTCCTCCTCATCCGCCTCTTCCTCCTCCTCCTCCTCCTCCTCCGCATCCTCCTCCTCCTCCTCCTCCACCTCCTCCCCCTCCCATCCTCCCCCATCCTTCCATCCATCCCTCCACCTTCCTCCTCCTCCTCCTCCTCCTTATCCTCCTCCTCCTTCTCCTCCTCCTTCTCCTCCTCCTCATCATCCTCCTCCTCATCCATCCATCCATTTTCGCCCTGGCCCTGTCGCACCCCCAGACGTGTCGGTAGGGTGGGCCAGGCGTTCCGCCTGAGACTTCCTCGCCACGTATGACCCTGATAATAAAATGTTACAGCAATTCACGGATGGACGGCGGGATGTTTTCAAAATGTGGCTCTCGATCTAGCGCCGCGGACATTAGTCCTCAACGTTTGCAGCAACTTCAAAATTGGAGGCCGGCTGTTGTCTTGAATGTGGCTCTCGCCTGGGTGCTGCACACACTCGTCTCCAAACATTGCAACCGCTTCAAGGATGGAGGACGGGCCGTTTGTTGCATGTGGCTCTCGCCTTGCCGCCGCGCACATGCGTCATATGAAACAGATTGAAAGATGGATGGCGGGCCGTTTTCAATACGAGGCTTTCGCATCAGCGCCGCACACATTCGTCTTAACATGTTGCTGCAAGGGTGGAGGGTGGTTGCTTTCCAAACTGTGACTGTCGAATTGGTGCTGCGCACACTCGTCTTCAGAATGTGCAACCGCTTCCAAGGTTCGTAGCTAATGGTCTAACTCGCACTGCAACAACGGTTCGTAAGACAATCCTGATTAATCGCTTGCGGAAATGATGTGTTATGGCGCGACTGGGGCGAGGCAAGCGCGCAGACACAGCAGGGGTTAAGTTGGAGATGCTCTTGCACAGAGGGGGCGCCTTGAATGATATGTTGCTGGGGGGCCTGAATGCAGTTCTTCACACTGGATTCACGCAGCCAGCATGGCGTCAGACGTCCTTCATGATGCCACCCAAGTCTGGAGATCGACGGGAGGCAAAGAGTTGGCGCCCAATTGCAGTGCTTTGCATTTCATATAAAAACTTCTCGAGAACGATATTCGAGAGACTACAGCCTATTCTCGACGCCGAGCAACCAAAGGATCAAGTTGGCGTCAAGCCGACGCGATCCGTAGATGATGCGTTTGTGTGCTGGAAGAGATTTGCTCCAACTGCTGGGAGTGGGCTAAGCCAATGTGGGTGGTCAATATCGACCTTGCTGGAGCCTTCGATCGCATCGAGTACCACTCTCTTTTCGAGGCGCTGGGCCGGCAAAGCTTCCCCGAGCCATACAGTCAAAACGTATATTAAGGACGCGTGGTAAGGACGCAAGACACTTGGAGGCTGAAGTTGGGATTTTTTTGGGCGGCGGCGACCAGTGAAAACGGCAAAGGACGGGCCACAGAGGCAAGGACGCAAGGGTATCCTAGATGAAGGCGCGCGTCCTTACTAGGCGCGTTGACTGTATCTGCGGCTCGTCTCCGACATCTACGACCAACAGACAGGTGTGGTCAACGGCAGTGGGCCATTCCACATCACGCGCGGGGTGAAACAAGGTGATGTGTTTCGGAGGCCTGGAAATGGGCACCAACACCAAGACGGAAGTTGCCTCCACAGGGGGAAGATGATCCTAGATTTACGGTGCTGGTGGTAACAGTTCGGCCACCTTGGAAGCCAGAATATTACCACCATCGCCGAGATCGGGATCTTCTTCCCTCGGTGGAGGCACACCTCCGAAATTGGTGTTGGTGTTAATCTCTAGGCCTGCGAGTGCTGTCATCGCTCTGGCTCAATGTTGGGCTTGACGCGATCCGGCGTTTCAAGAGCCGGTTCCCCGACAGTGGAACCGACGCGGGGGGGGCCAGCGCCGTGGAGCAACGTTCGCTACTCGGACGGCGTCATCCTATACGGGAACTCGGCGGATGAGAGCGCTGCGATGCTCCGCGCGCTGACTGACGAGCTTGCCACTTGTGGTCTGTCGTGGAACGCTGGAAAGACAAAGGTCTTCACCGATGACCTCGTCTGTGCCTGCGCGTTGCGACCGGCGCCGTTCGATTTCGACCGGCACGGCTTGCTTGTTATGAAGAACACGACTGTCACAAGTACCTTGGTCATAATGTTAGTGGTGAGGTGAGGGAGCGGTACCTGTGCAACCTGGACCACCGCTCGTCATGCACATAGAATAAGTATCATGCAAATCACAATGTCCTGCTGATCAGATCCATATCGTTGAAACGACGGTTGAAATGTTCAACCTGAAAGTCACTCCAACCGCAATATTTGGCATGGCTTAGTGTTTCCCACCCACCAGCAGCGCGGCAGAATAGCATCAACGTGCCTGAAGATGCTGCGCAATAGTTGGTTTCAGCAAACTTCCAACAGAGTCATGGGAGGACGCTGGCAGACGGTGCAGAACATGTGCATTGTCAACTCCGAGTCTGGACTGCACGTTGACGGTTGTTGGCCACAATCGCGGCACATCCGTGCAACTGGCCGCATCCGGTGTTAGCGTGGACTCCGCAAAATGATGTTCGACGGCGCGGTCGTCCAAACACCCGGAGGACCGACAGCGTTTGCACTTTCATCCAGATCAGCGAAGTGCGGACTTTGGCACAAGCACTCAAAGAGTGTTCGCGACTGAAGTGATCTATTTTAGAAAGCAAGTATATCGAGGCCATGAACAACTGATTTCCGTCGCCCTCCCCCTCATATCCCTCTCCTGCTTCCCTCCTGCCTTCCCCTCCCCTCTTCCCACGCACGCCTGCTAATACTCCGTCAGATGTTTCACCTTCGCCCCCAACGCTGCTCGTCATGGCGAGCCTGCTTTGTAACTTCGCCGTCCCCAGTAAGGGAGCGTGACGCTTTCAGGCATCCGATCGGTCATTTGCTTGCTCAAGGTTCGTGCTTTTCGCACGCTTGTAGATTCTCAGACGCGTGTCTCGTCATGGGCCAGCTCCCAGAATATGAATCAATCGCTATAGGGACCCATGAAGAGGGAACTTGGAGGGCGGGCGCATTGCAACATCATTGGTGCGTCTTGGGTTTGCACTGGTCCTTCTCCTCCTCCCCCTCCTCGCCCTGCTCCCTCCCTTCCGCCCTCCCTCCACCCTCCTCCTCCTCCTCCTTCTCATCATCTGGGCTGTGTCACTCATTAGCTGCGCACCCCCGCGGCGGACGAGGTCGTGCACCTTGCTTCCGAGGAGAGCCGAACCGAACCTCCTCGTCATCCTTCCCTGCCGTGTTCCCCCCCCTCCGGGCCCCACTATTCCGTGGCCTCTTGGACGTGGGCGCCGAGCGGCCGAGGGATGCAGCGGCACTCGGAGCGTTCGCCTCGTCTCGCGCACATCTGTGGCGGCGATGTGTATGTATATATATATATATATATATATGTGTATATATATGTGTATGTATCCGTGTACGCGCCCTCGCGGTCAGGATTCCAAGACGCGATCCCGCGGATACGCGGTCGCACACGTGCGCTCCGCGGGAGGCACCCGCGGGAAGATGCCCCGCGGCCGCGGGGTCGCGGCCCCGGGGCCCGACACGCGAGGCCGCGGATGCGGAATTGCTTTCCGCCCACGGGATGCAGCCGTCCGCGCTACCATTAAGTCGGGCGTGTCCCCCTACAGGGGGATTTTTGACGAAAAATAAAAAGTCATAAAAAATACACCCTGATGGCAACAAAAATGCTCAAATAATAGTCCTTATACGATGTTTTGACTATTTTTGAACATTCCCCCTGTAGATGGACATGCCCGACTCAACGCTACCAAAAAGGAGCACATAATAAGCAGCGAGGGGGCTGTCTTGGCCGCAGCGAGCCTCGGCCACGAGTACAGAAACAGAAAAACGGCATAGACAGAAACTTTGGGCGCCCGGCGCGGATTTCTTGGATCTGCGCCGGACCACCCTCCCTGGCGCGCTGAGCGCGCCAGGGGCGGCGCCAGAGGCGCCGACCGGGGGGGACCCAGCGCGGATCCAAGAACTCCGCGCGGACCGCCAACAGTTTATGTTTATGCCGTTTTTGTTCTTCGAGAACAGGTTCCCCGACACAGATCTGAGGAGCGGCCCGACAACCAGACAGGCCTCGGAAAAAAACAGCGAACACTCATGCCACATTAATCTGCCAACGCCTCCCCCTCCCCCAATGTACAAAACTGGCGGTGAGTCTCATGAGTTGCACCTCGACCGCAGTCTCCTCCGCGCGTGCCCACTTTGAGTTTGGGATTCAGGTCGCGGTTATTTTTACCGTCTCAATTCTGAAAACACTTTTTCAAAAACGGTGAAAAACGGCCCTGCCGTTTCCGGGGCCTACTAAGCTCGGGTCGGCATGACGGGGTCGTCAGGGAAATGACGAGACCCCGTCTGAAATTTGACGCGGGCCAGCGCTACAAACATCCCACGAGAGCAGGCCCGTCAGAATCCAGGACTGGCTCGTCAAAGAGCGTCGGCAAGCACGAGCTCTAGCGAACTCGAGTCTTACGCTTCCCCGAAAGACGGCAGGGGCCTCTTGAAGCCCTCCCAGCTTCCGAGGAAGCCCTCCTGGAAGCTGGTCTGAGAGCCCCCCTACACGTGGTGTGCCCGCAGCGGCGAGGACCAGCCCAGACGCGTGCTGCCAGGCGGCCACGGCTTCAAGACATTGATGGGAGCCTTCCATGCTCTCTTGCTTGCCCTTGCGAGTCGACGCTAGCCGACGCTATCCGACGCTAATCGACCACTATTCGACGCTAAGCGACGCTAGATCGGCGCTTTCCCATAGATTACCAGACGCTAGCTCACGCAGATGCA